CCCCAAAACCCCAAAACCCCAAAACCCCAAAACCCCAAAACCCCAAAACCCCAAAACCCCAAAACCCCAAAACCCCACCTTAGCAGAGAATAATTGATCAATACTATTAAAATTAAGGGATTTTTTCGTCAGAAATTAGCCATGTAATTTACCTTTTTATCAGATCTAGGAAAAGAGAAGGATCAGGATGATGAACTGAGCATTAATTAGCTAAAGTAACCCACTACCAAGCACAGGTTAGGTTTAAATAGTTTTGCGATTAGGTATATTATATTGGGTTATTAAAAATTGAGGCATAGATTTCCTCAAAAATCTCATTGATTTCTGATGGTAGATAATTTGAAGCTTCTTTCATCAGATGTCTCATTCTTGACAATAACTTGTCAGAATCGTTATCTGATTGTTCGTATGCCGCATTCTTTCCCTCTTTTAGAAAGTAATGGGTGTATACGAAAGAATTAGAAGCATCGGAAAGAAAATCGATCAGGTTCCTAGTATTGTATTTATGCAATACATTTCTGAGAATGCTGAAATTTAATCCTTCCGAGATAGCTTCTTTCTTCTGGTATCTATCACAGAAAATGATGGTCTTGAGTGCATCTCTGATCCTATCGTGATCATCTTCACTTAGTAATCAGATGAGGATGCTTCCTAGCTCATTTTCCATAAAGCTCGACATTATGATATTTATCTCATCGGTGGTCATCTTCGATAACCTTTTGTACTCAATGTCTCCGATATTTTGCTGAAACTTATCTTTGTAGTACTTCCTCATCATTCTGAATGACTTTCTCTCAAGAAGATATCCGAAATCAGTAGATTTCCTCTTATTGGCTTTTTTCTTGGATGGTTTCTCAGAAGGATCTTGAGTTTTCTCCAATGTCTGGCTCTGAGGTTTTGTCTCAGTAAAGACATCAATTGAAGCTATTTCTTCAGCCTTGCCCTCCTGGCCCACTTCAGGGATGTTCCTTCTCTCCTGAGGAAGAGCCAAGGTCTGATCAGGCTCAAATGGGAAAGATAAGGATCTTAGATCTTCTGGTTGAAACCTGGGCTGTTCAGGGAAATCCTTTATTGAAGAATTGTTCTTGGCCATGAACAAATCATCGTCAAGGAAGGTGAAGTTCTCAGCTGATTCATAGGTGTTCAAGAATGCTGGATATTCAATCATGTTTGGGGATTGAGATTGTTTGTGATTATTAATTATTGGAGAAGTCAATTTTTTAAGTAATTACTGGGGTTTTGGGGTTTTGGGGTTTTGGGGTTTTGGGGTTTTGGGGTTTTGGGG